GTGTGTGTGTGTGTGTGTGTGTGACCTCCTCCTGACCAAAAGGGTCATAGAAGCAGGAAGCAACAACACAAGAAGCAGATCTGTCAGAGAGGATGTGTCTACAATAAAACCTCCCCCAGCACAGAGAGGCTGCAGAGGTGCTCAGGATCACAGGGATCTCTTTGCTACTGCTTGAACTAAAACTTTACAAATTTAAGAAACACAATGACAACATTCAACAATTAGACTTAACACACCTCCAAAGTAATATGTTCCTCCAGTCTGGATCTGGATGGGGATAGCTGTTCTAACTGTGGAGGCCTCATCTCCATCAACTGTCAGCATTGCATAGTTTTCCAGTGCATTCAGGTGGACACTATGCCACTGTCCATCATTCAGACCTGAACCTATGAGGAAAAACACATGCAGAAAAGTTTAACAGGAAAACACAACAGCGATCGAAGTGAAGACAAAGAGACCAAAAAGGACCTCGAGATAATAATTAAACAACCGAAAACCAACGAGCTGAGCTCACTTGATGAAATGTCTATGCGTGTGTTCTTCTTCTGTGTCACATTCATATAGACGGTGATTTTTCCCTCCGTCAGGCCCAGCTCCACCCAGCCATCCGCCAGGGCGGTGAACATCAGAAGGCCGTTGGGATTCCACGTCCTGAAAGACAGACTGACTGACAGGGTGTCGCTGTCAGTCTGACCCGGCAGCCGCAGGAAGGATGTGGAGTTGAAGAAAACTGGGGAGGTGTTGGATTCGGAGCAGGAAAATGTCAGGTTACGCTACAGTGGAAGAAAGAAACCGATAAAGAGATTTATGGAGACAGTACCTAACAGACTTTTATTTTGAAACTTCATTTTATTTGGCGATTCTAAATTGAAAACGGTTGTCAGGCAGTTTAGGTGCTCAGAGTGTGTGGAATAAAGACTTGATGCTATAATTTCCACTTCTGCGAGTCCTCTAGGGCCAGCGTAGGTCTGAGTAACATGAACGTCATCAAATGTTGGGCGCGTGGATCCACGTGCATGTCTGTTTTTTACATTTCGGACATTTTCACAGTGAATCCGTTACTAAAAGCCAGTCTATTCACAGACGTCCACTCAGTTTGAACATCTGAGCTAAAAACACAGTGGTTACTATGGAGTGGAAAAAAGAACCGGCAATCAAAATTAGCTCTAACGAGTCAAACAAGTTTCCGACAAGGAATGTGCCACCTGAGGAAGGAGAGATTCAAAATCCATTCTTAGAGGACAACCACAGTCTTAGTGTGGGAGGCTACGGTATTCTGGTTTTAGTTTCAGATAGCAACACCCATGGGTGCTGCCAACGAATCACAGATTCACTGTGGTTAACTGGCAGCCTGTGATTACACTGCACTGTTCAATGCACCATCACTGGGGTGGTTTATTTAGAACTGTAAAGTAAAGAGATTTATTGCAAGACAAAGGTTATGTAGGCTTGTTCATGACATTTGAAAGAGCAGACCATCAGAGACGTTCTTCAGTTTATTGTTGAGCGAGCAGCTCGGTGGGGTGGCTTCTGGGAAAAGCCTGAGAACTCTGTGAAAACAAATCTAAGGAGTGTCCTGGGAGGGCTTCGCTGAACTTTGAGGAGCTCACTAGTATACTGACAGAAGTAGAGGCGATATTGAGGCCTCTGTCCTCTTTGCACAGTTCCAGAGTTGTGAGCACTTGGAGGTAGCTGTAGCTCAGGTGGCAGAGCAGGTCGGCCACTAACCAGAAGGTCGGTGGTTTTTACTAGTAAAAACACCCAGTGTGATGAACGTGGGCGATGTTGTCCTGGTTGGAGAGAATAACTCGCCCAGACAAACGCATTTCCTCGGACACAGCTGTTCCTGCATTGTTCACAGTTTAAAGCTTGCTGCACAGACCTGCTCAGTTACTGCATCCACTCGAGATGAGTAAACGCACTGAAGCAGCTGGACACGGATGAACAGCTGTTAATCAGCTGGGAGGATGTTGTGATTTATTGATCCTTTACGTGTTACTTCTTGGACATGCAGGAAACACTAAAACATGCTCTCCTTCTCATTACTGCAGTGAATGTGTAGAAAATGTGTTCAAACAGTTAATGGTAATTATTTATTTTATTGTGAAAGCTTGTTACAGGAAGTGTTTTACTTTGAAGAGCACTTGATACTGTTGACCATAATATTGTATAACAGTGACTGTTGTTGTGACGAACAGAGATGGGCAGTACGCGTTACTGTAATCTGATTACTTTTTTCAAGTAACGAGTAAAGTAAGGGATTACTATTGCAAAAACGGTAATTAGATTACCGTTACTTTCCCGTAGGAACGCTGCGTTACTGCGTTACTAAAACCGTGATTTTTTTTGCGAGAATGTCTCACGACAGTGTGAGTGCGCCGTTCGTGACAACAGCTGTGTGCAGATCAACAATGGATCACATATCAGTGCAGAGAGAGTATGAGCGTGCAGCGTTTAAAGCGTGGAAGTACTGACCTTACTTTGAGTTTGATTCCATAAAAAGTCACAAAAACATTAGTGTCCGCTGTGCGTGGGAAGAAAACTTCTTTTTACAGCGAACCCCCCCCCCAAACAAGCTCCGAGTGCACAACGACGTAATGGGAAACTCACAGAGAAACTCGCGGATTCTTCCACTGACCGCGGCACACCTGCACCAGGGTAAACCTCCGCCTACCCCACTCCTGCTTTACAGGTGAAAATAGAGCAACAGGACCGCTGAGTCTTTGACTTTATTTATTTTCTGCTGTGTTTTACTTGCATCTATTTGAAAGACTGAGTGTAAACACAAAAAATATTTTATTTTATGAGCTGGAATGTGCAGAAAATAGGTTTAAATGTTAAACTAATTTCTTCCAGTCAGAGAATGTTGCATATAATTTAATTTTTGCTTGATGCATAAAGTTAAAAGATTAAAACTAATAAAACAAGTTTTAAAAAGAGACGTTTCCATTTGATTACATTTTGTATGATGATTATGTAGAAAAAGTAGAATTGGGCTGAAAGATCTATCACTTTATCACCTATTCAGGTTGTAAATCGCGTTTTTAAAAAGTAACTAAGTAACTAAGTAATTAATTACTTTTGAAAATCAGTAATCAGTAAAGTAATGGGATTACTTTCTTGGGGGAGTAATCGGTAATTAGTTACTGATTACTTTTTTCAAGTAATTTGACCAACACTGCTCAGGAGTTTGAGCAACAGTGAAGAAACTACCGGAGCTCCTTTTAATGTTCTGACAGGTCGAAAGTGTTCAGGTTAGAGACTGTTTAGGACAAATCCACAGGAGCAACAAACAATTAAATCCACTCAATTAACTTTGTTATTTAAGAAGATCCCAATAAAGAAGAAAAATATTTTACATTGTCTGGCAGAGGTTAACACAAACAACAGTAATATATGGTTTAAAAAGTACGTTTAGAGCTGTCTGGGTCACGATGAATCGAGGCATGTTACTGAAGCTGAAGAAGAGTTTTTCTCCACAGACGAGTGTCCATGACATATTTCGTTTAGGAAAAGATGCAAACTGCCAAATAACAGAAAAACTGCAAAAGGGTTTTTAAGATCATTGCAGCATTCGAGTCTACATTTACACAAGGCTGGGCACATAAACTCAAAGAGAAGACACTTCTTACAAAGCTGGTGGTGTCAACCTTCTTCCTGCGCACCAGACTAGTGATGTTTTCCCCGTTGTAGGTAATTCCCTCCATGCAGCCAACAAAGTTCTCTTTGCCTCCTGAGGTTGGCTTCACAGACACAGGAAGTCCTCCAAAGCTGATCTGAGGAACACAACACAAAGCAACGTTGGGGGATTCTGCATCTCTGCAACCACACAGAGTCAAACGACTCGCTTTTTAAGGTCTGCTAATAACAGCAGACAACAACCACTTCACTCAACTGTGAAGAGTGAATGAACATTTCAGGCGTTACACAGATGAACCGCAGTAATGTTGTAAACTGTAGGAACACCAGCAGGAATAAACGGACTCCAACAAGTATCAAATATACACAGTGAGATAAGCGCCGTACAGTGTTGTTACAAACTGTTTGCCTCCTTCCTGACTTCAGATTTTTTTGCATGTTAAACAAAGAACAAAGACTTGACTGCAGTTGTTGCTGACAAGCGTGGCCCAACCAGTCACTGGGTTTAGGCTCAATCACTTTGTCACGTGGGGTCATGCAGGTTTGGATTTCTTTTAGTAAGAAACACCTTCATTTAGAAACTGCATTTTGTGTTCACTTGCTGCAATCCTTCTGTTACAAAGACACTCGTCTCGACCCTCGCCGCCTCTCTGCACACTCTTCTTCATGCTTTGCGTGCACCGTCTGTCCTTGGATGGTCGACCAGGTATTTAAGCTCACTTACCTCTGTTGCTTCCAGCCTCAACTTTGTACCTGTCTCACTCTCACACTAGAGTATCAGAAGTACCAAAGAAACAAACAAAAAAACACTTGCTAATAATGTAAATAAGACCAGTAAACAAAGTAAACACAGGGCAAAAACGCTTCATTTTAACAAGTATTCTGATTTAAAAACATGAACACAAATGTTGGCTGTCAGTAGCTCTTAGATGTGATCCTGAGGTCACGCTACGATGTCCACCACAAAGTATTCTATTTTTAAATGCGCCCTGAGCTCCCAAACAGCCATTCAGTATTGTTTTTGAATCGATGAAGTGATGTGAATTTTTGTAGCCTAAATGATTAAGTGGTCAAATTCTTTTGAAAGACAATATCTTAAATATTGAGCTGATCTTTCACAAAATAACTGAGCCCCAGGCATTTGAACTAAGTGACCTAATTATTTGTGAAAGCTTTATCATGACAGTGTTGTGTTGTTGCTGTGCCAAAGCAGGAACTGTGTGTGAAACATGACGAGTGGGTTCATTTCTGCCAGAATCTTTACTTTTCCTGTCAAAGGTAAGTTTCTTCCTCCAGCTTCACCAACAATCTGTTCAAGCAGTGACTGCAGAGTTACTCTTAATGGTGTACTGTGCACAGTGCCCTGAATATAACTGAACGATGGAACCTGTGCTCCGGCTGACAGGGCTGATGGATAACTAGGACATACATTAGCAGCAGATATGCGTACCTGTGCACACGTGTCCTCTAAACACTGAAGCCTCAGTTAAAGTCATTGAAAGGAAGCAGCAGATTTCACTGCATGCCTAATATAACAATAAACATCAGCAGAACCTAAATCATGCTGGAGATGAGGAGCTGAAAGTCAGACTACCTCCATATAATACAGTTTATATGTGAACAAACATTGTGTGTCTTCCTTTCGAGGTGACATCCAAACTAAGAAGATATTTTCCTCTTCAATTAAGACTTTGGAGAGGATTCTTAGAACCTAGCAAGCAGTTCATTAAATAAGTACATCATAGGATCCAAACCCCCACAACCCTGACAAGGATAAGCAGAAGAGAGCGGATGGCTGGAAGCATGTTTTATTTCTATAGCACATTTAAAACCAAAGTGATTACACATGAATAAACAGGTTCCTGCTAAACACACACATTCACAGTTTAAGTCAAATGTATGATTCACTGAGCCGTGTGTACCTCGTAGTCCAGGTCCAGGTGATCAAATTCTCCATTGGTTCTGAACTGCTGAGTGTGGCGGTCTAAAGTAAAATTGACATTCCTGCGGTAACGCTCGATGACAACAGAGTGCCAGTGGTCATCATCCAGCAAGCTTCCACTGGTCACAGCCGTGTGACCCTGAATAGAACCGTTCTGGTTGCTGCCTGGACAGACACATCACATCAGTCACGAAATCAGTGGTTAATAAAGTTTAACAGAACTCGCTCTGATACAAACACCAGGAAGATCAGAAAGCTACCTAAGTTGATGCTGAGCAGCAGTCTTGCTCTGTGAAGCTCGAGGGAAATGTAGTCCCCCTGCTGCCCCTCTCCGTGAAGCAGCACCCCGTTTCCTGCTGTGGTGCGAAACTTCAGAGCGATGACGTCCTTCACAATTTTTAACTTTTTACTCCTGAAGCGGTAGGAGATGACCCCGTGCCCATCGAAACCAATCACATCGGCCCCTGAAAGATGCAAAAGCAAAAGTATGAACTCATTGAAACGTATTAAATGAAAGTTAAACACTAACATATCATTCAAAATATAGTGTATTTGTGACTTTCATCAATACATCGACATCAGCCATAGGAATACAAAGGTGTTGTATTCTGCTGGCCCTCAGACTTTGTAACACAACGACATACATTTGCTAGCAGACAGATTTGTAACTATAGGAACATATTAGCAGACGTCCGGCTGCATTCTCAGCCATCAGCAGCTTTCAGGAAAGATCTTTTCCTGCCACTTTCAGTCGCTCTAAATCTCGCCCTTAACAAATGTACTGGGGACACTTTCCACCAAGTGCAACTTCTGCTGCACAGAGATGGTTTTCTGCTTGCAGTGTGAGCTTGTTGTGTGTCACAGAACCTGTTACTGCACAGACTTTGCAGCTGAGCGTAATGTGCCAGCAGCATGCAATCATCATTTGTGGCCTGAGAAGCTGATTTGATGAGCAAAGCCTCTTACATCAACTTACTCTCAGCTACACTTGCATGACTGAGAGATCCAAAAAAATTAACTATCTACAATCTGCAGTTAGAACAACAGTTTGCAGCTGAAAGTCCAACTGCTGCATCTCACATGGAAAGAAAAGAAAGAGAGCGAACTTCACTCAGAGATGGAGAAAGATGAGGAAGACAGGAGAGGAAGAAGAGGAGGAAGATTTAAAGGGAAGGACTGCTGTTAAACCGGAAGATTAAAGCTAACATGTAAGTCCTCGTGTTTTTAGATCACACATCTGTACACGTGACATTGTTTTGTATAGAAATATCCTTGTTTTAAACATGAACAAGGCCGAGACCATGATCATAGCTCCTCCTCAACCACATTCTGCTTTTCTGTCCTCCTGCTGAGCCAAACATTCGAAATAAACCTGGATTCTTCTCTGGGCCTTAACTCACATGTAAAATCTGTTTACCAGCTTGGACAAATCCTCTCTTCTTTTTTTTTGCCTGTCCCGTTTGGCTCTTTTGCATCAGAATTGTTGTCTAAAGGTGAAGAAAGATGCCCAACGGATTTACTTTACCAAATGGACCATCCCAGCCACGGGACAGACTTGACTGGGGAAGAGAAAGGGGAGAAAGTGTGTGTACACCTGTGAGCATGGACGCGCTTGTATTTAAAGGTTCCTTCATGTAACGATCTGCAAATCGTCTCTTTCTGCCTCCAAGACAAACAAAATGCAGCAGCCAGACTACTGACACGCTCCAGCAAACATGCTCACATTACTCCTGTTTTATATTCTTTACATTGGCTTCTAATAGATTTTAGAATTAGTTAAAAATTCTTGTTTTAACATACAGAGCACTGAATGGCCCCAGATTATTTGTCCCAGCGTCTTACACGCTGCTGCTGGTTGTCTGCGCTCACAGAGTTTGTTGGTTGTTCCCTGAACACGGCTGCAGAGTAACGAGGACCGTCTACCACCACGGCTGGTGATTCTTTTAAAAAGCAGTAAAAACCTTTCTGTTTAAACAAGCTTTCTGCTGCTACCTGTTAATCTGACTGCGTTTCACTGACTTGTCTATATCGTCTATTTTGGTACCAAACGTTCAGTTTATTTTAGCCTTTGTGTGCGGTGCAGATCTAAATAGTTCAGACAGACGCAAAAACTTGGCAAACTGTGTGGTGCACCGGTCAGCAGCACCAGAACATCTTTGGTCCACAGCGATGTCCATGCAGTCTGACTCCTGCAAAGGATTTTTATCCAGGTATTAAAATCCTCATTGGGTTTTAAATCCACTGTCGTGCTGTACAGAGGCACAACTGCAAGAAGTGTATATTTGTCCAACAAAGGATGAACTTGTACTTTCCAGTTTTCAAGAACTGCCTGTCCTGTAGTGGCCAGACGCAGGTGCCCACAGGTCATGTACTGTAAATCTACATCCACATCACATGCATAGTGTTTCAATCAGGTATCTTCAGCTTGCACTTACAGTATGAGCAGCCATACAGCTCCAGGCGCACCCCGACGCGACCCGCCCTGCTCCAGTCCACTGGGATGAAACGGATGTAGCGAGCCAGGATGGCATACTGCAGCTCGTGGCGAACTACACCCTCGCTGTTCACATTCCCTTCAAATGTCTGAAACAACATTTGTTTTAAAGAGAAAATCAGATCTAAATGTAGTTTTTATTCATTAGAAAATGAATCAAATAACATTAAACCACATGTTTTTTTTCATTGGTTAATTAGAAAAGTGAAAAACACCTTCAGGCAGCTGTTGATGTGATTTGGTGTTACATTTAAAAACAACAGAAGTCAAATCGGAGATTTTGTCCTGATAATAACATGGTTATTACCCATTAATCCATAAATACTCGAGACTCTAAACGGAGCAAATACACACCACAGGTCCACACCTGTGAAACTGACTCACACTGCAACATTAAACACAGGCTTACATTACAGTGTGAGAATGAGGAGCAAAAGAAGAAGACTTGAAGGAAGAGGAGTAATAGTTTCAGTAATAGCACCGTGCCACAGATCTAAATTTAAAATATTCCACCTGTCAGGGTTTAGTCTTCCTAAACCCTGACAGGTGGAATATTTTAACATCAGCGTCGACTTGAAATGATATTTGTGTCGATAAGTCGGTCCGACTGATTTCCTTACCCAAATGTTTCCATCCTGTAGATAAGGTCTCCAGTTTTTCTGTGTGTCACTGTAAAGTAGCCGATACTTTGTGGTCCAATCAGAGCTACTATAGCAACCCTGTGTTGCTATGGCAAGCACCTGCTTCTTAGAACCAAGGTCTACTTGTAGCCACGGGTAACGGTCTGTATCCAATGGCGACCACCCTCCAGAACCTAGATTTTGGGATGTTGTAAGTTTGGGAAGGGTTAAAGATGTCAGAGAAAAAAGTGAGTAGATGAAGAAAAAACGACATTTAGAGCCTAATCGTCTTCAGTGTCTGCACTACTTTATCTGGAGAATTATTCTGAGGCTTTGCCCACACGAACTTTAAGCCAAAAACACTGCACACATGAGCTCACATGCCAAATGTGATTTTTAAAAACTGAAAAAATGCCCACAGATGATGTATTTACAGCCTAAAGAATAAATATATCAATTCTCATTTATGTCTAATCTAATCATCTCTTAAATTAAATGGTCATTATTATTTTATACTGTTAACATTTACATATGCTCTACAGGCAGCCAGATGTTTATAGTCAGGTGAGGTAAAACTTCACATGGGAACCAGTAAACCCACGAATCATGGTTATGTTTACAGTCACATAAAAAAGCCTGAGACGTTACTGAGCATTAGAACAGCTTGTTCAGCTTGTTCAGTGTTCGTTTATGACAAGATCAACACTTTATGTTGATGTTGAGTCCAAGTCAAAGTTCAATGAACATGTTCAGCTGAGGGGCCGAGCTGCATTTCAGCAGGAGTCTGCAAACCACTTTCTTCTTTGACATAATTATTTAGTCACAATTATACAACTAATACATGTCGGCACTGTGAGCTAGAGCCTTAACAGAAGCCGACATTTAACACCAAAGCTGTGGAAATGCAGCCATGAATGGACCCAGAAACCGGTTTAATATTAACCCCTCCACAACCCAGAAATACAAACAACCTCATCCTCAAGATTCCCGAGGCATACCTTGTTTCCGGCTGAGTTTGGCATAACCGGCTCCGTTTCCTCGGCTGTATAGAGACGACCCGGTGAAGGAGCTGTAAGGAAGAGGAGTGGCCAAGCTGTCCTCACACTTCCCTGAACCTGAAACAGAAGCCCACAGATGTTTCCTTCAATGCTACCAACAGGCCAACGTTTTACAGTGTGCTGCACTTCTACATCGCATCCTCATCCAAGACACGAAAACAGCAGCACGAACTCACAGCAGTCGTCTGCAGCTGCTCACCTGCGTTTTCAGGTAAATATTCATAACTCCACGTAATCCGCTCTTCATGTTGATAACAAAGTTGGCTTTGAGGACATTATTTTACACTCTAATGAGAACTGATTGATGTGTCTTAATACCCAGCAGACAAACACCAAAATCCATCATTTGGACATTTTGTTCCACTTGTACAAACAACCAATGTTCTCGTCTGTTTATCAAACAATTGAAAGCTGACTGAACCCACTTGTTTGTTCAAGCCAAGGTTAACATTAGAGGTGGGAATCACCATACATCCCACGATACGATATTATCACAATATTTAACTCACGATACGATATTATTGCAATTTTTAAAAATATTTTGCGATATTCAGATTCTGTGCATAAAGGTAAACTTTATCAAAATTCATTTTATCTAATATCAAAGTCTCGCACTCAGTCTTTCTCTCATTTCAGTTTTATTGTTGACAAACTGAACAGTTTGCATTACAGTCTAGTCCAACTGAACTGAATGCAACCATCTGGTACAATTACAGCTATTTATAAAAACTATGCAGCCCATTCAGCAACTGAAGAATTTGAAAGTAAATTAAAACAAAATATAATTTTACATTAAATAAAAAAGTTTTAAACTTAATTAAAATAAAACATGTCTTAAATTAAAATAAGTAAACTGTCATGTTTATTGCTGCCATAAAAAAAGTTAAACACATTTGGACAGTGTCAGGATTCTTGCTCAGAAAAAGGATCAACATGCTCTGAAGTCAGAGCACAAAAACCTTTTTGTAACAAAATATCGATTTCTGCTGTCGCTGTATCGATACATTATTAGCAAACAAAATATCACGATACTACACAGTATCGATTTTTCCCCCCACCCCTGGTTAACATGACATCACCAACATTAACTCATCTGTATAACTGACACTGGGAGGTTAGGAGGAGTGTGAGGCTGATGCTGCTGATCTCAGCTCTGTGAACATTTGGATGGAAACTGATGAAGCTGGGTGTGATGACACGGTAACAACAAAAAGATGTTTAATGACTGCGTCTGAGATTCTCTGATTAGAGTTTAGAGAGTTTAGAGTTCCAGTGATAACATCTGCTGAAACTACACACTATCTGCTATCAGAGGAAGAGAGCAGAAACACTCAGCACAGCAACATAACTGATGTAGAACGCGTGTCTGAAACGCAGAGACCGAAGCTCACACATCAAAAAACACTTTATCAATCCCACAGGAAATGATGTAAACACACACACACACACACACACACACGCGCGCGCGCGCGCACCAGGAACAGTTCAGAGCTCTGTCTCTGTGTGTATGTGTGTGTGTGAGAGAGAAAGAGGGAGACAGGTGCTGAGCATAGTGATGAGCTTGCTCATATGCATTACAAAACAAGCCTCGCATGCATTCAGCAGCATAAAGGAACGAGACAAAAACGACGTCGTCAGCAGACGACCTGAAATCAGCGTCTCCACCTGATCTTTCTGACAGCAGTACGTCTGAGCTCCTGCTGCAAAACCACAATGATGATATTCCAGTCTAACTGCTTTTTTAATCACATCGAAAAATAAACAGAGTGGTGCAGAGTTGATCTAGGCTCTAATTTAGTTTCCCGTGTGATGACAGCGCTGCTGCTGCTGGAAGCTGACCAGCCTGCAGTTTAGGGCTGCTCAATTAGTCGAATTTTAATCTCGATTACGATCTAGGCTTTCAACGATCATTAAAAAGGACTGAGCCGATTATTAGCCCCTCCCTCGTGCTTTACTCTCGCGCTGCTCCGTTTGACAAATCGAGCGCACCTCTCTGCGTTTCGAACACGTGTCACAACAATTAAGAGCAGCGGTCTCCAACCTTATCTGCGCCACCGACCGGTTTATGCCCGACAATATTTTCACGGACCGGCCTTTAAGGTGT